TAAATTCAGGGAACAACTGAAACCTGTTGCATCAGAGAGCAGAAAAGTTTCTTTTTCTGACAGTTTCCATGTACCTGCCAATGATTGACTTGCTGCTGGGGACATAGTTCATTATCTAACTTAAGGAATTGTATTTTGGGAACTGCTGTCAGCATTGTTGCCTGCAAAACTTGCACTTGCTTCTCCTCCCTCCCCCAGCTTATAGATAGTTATTTGCTAATGGCAACAGTCCAGTTTGTAGGAATGCATTGCTGGGGTGCTGTACTTTTCCAATTGTTTTCACAGGAGTAGTATCTGTACTTGAGGCTTTTGCTAAGCTTTTTTTTCTTATCTTCCTTTTTTCAGAGCATGCATGAGGATATATATAGATATATATATATATATAGGTGAGAATGACCTGAGGGGACAGAACCAGTTGTGACCCAGTACAGGTCATGGGGGGTGTATCTCAATTTTTGGAGCGAAATACCTTGAACCCACTTTGGGAAGAGGGCAGCTCTGGTGAATGTTTAGCATCCTGATTTGTTGCCAGGTTTTCACAGGATCCCAGAATGGTTTGGGTTGGAAGGGACCTTAAAGCCCATCTTGTTCCAACCCCCTGCTGTGGGCAGGGTCACCTTCCACTAGACCAGGTTGCTCCTAACCCCGTCCAACCTGGCCTGGAACACTTCCAGGGATGGGGCAGCCACAGCTGCTCTGACACGTGGGTGATGTGAAACTCCCAGGTTTTGCATGTTCTCACTGTTCCCTCTGGGACTGGGTGATGTTCTGCCAAAGGACTCCGTGGTGGTGGATGGTGTTTGCCACAAGCACTTCAATCTCTGAATGCCTGAAAGAGTTCAGGATGGCAGGAAAGGAGACCAGCATTGTGAAAGGATTATCAGAAGGTTGCCTATTTCTTAGAGAGATCCATCTTCTGTTATTGTTACCTGTGCACCAACCAACAGGGGATTGTAACTTCTTTATCTGCATCATTCACCCTTTCTTGGGAGAGGTTTCTCTGTACAATATCCTCTTTTCTTTTCCTCTGGCCAGGGTTCTCTAACAGATTTGCTCTTCTGTTCCTGGCTTACCAGCCTGTATATCCAGCCTTCCTATTGCCCTGGTTTGAATCTTCCCCTCTATTAGTATTTTATTGAAGCTCCTTTTGCCTTGAGATGCTGGTGAGTAGTTGGGATCCACCTTTGTGTTGCGCTGTCCTGATCGAAAGAGCTGACAGAGAAAAATAGGTGTTTTCTTGAAAATAGGCAGAATGAAGTGGGAGCCAGGTTCATCATTCAGTGATCTGGTTTTTTCATAGCTAATACACCAACCAAGAGCCTGTAGCTCTCTCATGGCTCTCTCTTATCTCTGTCTGTGGGAGCTCTAAACCTCTGCAGTGGTTTTGCTGACTCTCACGTACACATCTCGCACCATTTCTGTTCTGCTCCTTGAACTTGCAGCCAAAACTCTGGTAAAAAATCTGCTCTGCTTTATACGTGCCTTGAGCTTGACGTGGTGGCTACTCTTATTTCATCTGTTTCTCAGAGAAAGCTCTCTGCAAGGAAACACAGTGCACAGGGCCGTTCCTTTGAAGATCTGCTTGGATCCTGGGATATTCGCTTGAATTAATAGGATGACAGGGCACTGCACTTGAGCAAGCAGTGTGTTCCTTGAAAACGTAATTAAAAACGCTGTGTGGACTGTTTCCAGGCCGCCTCACCCCCCTTTGGTGCCTGTGCCCTGCAGCTTGCTGTGCTCTGCAGTGGTTCTGCTTTGGAGAGCAGCGTGTTGCTGCTCTGCCTGTGCTGCCCAGCCCAGCTCTGAGCTGCAGATGACTCTCCATCTCCTTCCAGTGCATTTGTTCTCTCTCTCTTTCTTCCAGCTCATTTAGCACGCTCGGGTCTCTCAAAATCCAGTTTGTAAGCAAAGCAACGCATTGTAAAAACTGTAAAATCTGGCCCTTCCCTAACCCTTCCCCCCACAGAAGAAGTCAAACACTCAAAGCCCCGAGCAGAGTCCTCCTGGGCCTGCATTGCCAGCAGGGATGGGGCTGCTGTGTGTGTTTGAGGCTCTGACAGCACGGGCACCTTCAGCACCTCGAACAGGCTGTAGCTGCTCCCCCGGAGAAACCAGCTCAGTGACTGTGCAGTGGCTCTGCTGACTCGACTCAGAAAATTCGGTTATCTCATGCTGTAAATGGCTTTGGGCGAGCTCCAGGAAGTGATGAATTGTGTAAATGGAAAGAACCCAAAAGTTGGTGATCGATAACGGCTGCAGCCCCGGCTGAGCCGCTCTGACCGGCAAAATGTGCTCTGCTGAAGTCCCTGTTACAGGTTGGATTCCCAAATTTGCTAATAATGCTGTAACAGATTTGCATTTTTTTATAAATTCTTGGAGAACAGAGTTAAAAAGCTCAGGAGAATGATGAGGTAACAGACCCAAAGTGGTTTTTCTCTTGCCGTAACCACAGCAAAGCTGCAGCTGAACACTGAACCGAGGGAAATCCTGCAACCTCCTGCAAACTGCCTGGGCTGCCCCTGCCACAGAGCCCTCCCCCTTCCTGGGGCTGACCTGTTCCCCACGAATTTGCCAAACCTTTTCTGAAGCTCCTTTGAAAAACCTTTTTTGTCCGCTCCCACATCCGTGGCAGGAGCTCAGCATTGTTTCCTTTTGTGTGCAAAAGCATTTCAGCTGCTGGAAAGTGGCCTGGTGTTGCTCCCACATCCTGGGACGAGCACAGTGTGCTTGCTGCAGACCTGCCAAACTCCTCCTCAGGCAAAGGCAGCTCTCACCTTCGTCTTCTTATTCCCTTGTGTGTGCACAGCTCCTACATACCTGCAGCTCCTACATACCTGCAGCTCCTACATACCTGTGTCCTCACTGCAGAATAAATTCCACTGATTTAAATTCCATTCAAAGCCATTGCAGTAAACTGCCCACCTTACACCGTACCGAGCTACAGATTTACTGGGTTTATATGTTTCAGGAATTTATTTGTTTTTTTTAATACTGCTCTGAACTTCATTTGCAGTATATTTTGCAAATGCCTTCTTCCTGTAGGTGGCTTATTGATTCTGGCTGCTGGGCAAACAGCAGCGATTCTGCTTGTGTCAAAAGCTGCAGAAAATGCTTATTGTTTCCTTAATGTGCCATTTACCTGGGCAGTGCACACACTGCAGCAGGGAGAGCAGGAGAGCTCTTGCTCTGCAAAATTAGGAGTTGCACAGCCTTCATTCATCAAACAGCAGCTTTTTTTTGTTCATGAAACAGCAAATTCTTGGGAGGTAATCATCCCTCTGAAGTGTAGGTGCTTCCCGTGTTGGCATATCCATCACAGCTCGTGTGTCTGTCTGGATAATCAATGGGAAGAAATGAGCTCCTCTGCAGTGCATCCACATGGGCTGTGCTGGAGGCTCCTCTGAAGGTGATAAATCACACCCTGGGAGTGCAGCTCTACCAGCTCAGCCAGGGACCTCTCCACTGCAGGCAGCTGCCAGGACAGGGTTTATGGAATCGTGGAATCTCCTGAGCTGGAAGGGACCCACAAGGATCATCAAGTCCAACTCCACCCCAGTAATTCCACCGTGTCCCTGAGGGTGTTGTCCAAACGCTCCTTGAGCTCTGGCAGCCTTGGATCCTGTTCCAGTGCCACCCTCAGGTCAAATCCTTACACCAGTTTCAGGTGAGAAGACTCTCACGTGTGTCCCACAGCACTAGGAGGAGTGTGGGATGACTGGCTCCCATGGATTTACCTCCCAAAAGCTGAAGAAGCCCCTGTGAAGGTGGAAGGTCAGGCTACATTTGGTTCAGCGCAGCAGAACCGGCCCTAAACGTGGGTCCTGTGGGTGGATAAAACCCGCCGTGGCAGATGATTTTAGAATGATCCAGATTTCCTGATTCTCTGTGGTTGTGTCACAGCGCAGCAGCTTAGTGAACTTTCTGATAAATCTCTTAACATACTGGCTCGTGTGCAAATCCTCTTCAGCCCATTATCTTTTCCATGAAGGTGGTCTTAGTGGAGAACCAGGAAAAGAGTCCAAGGACAAAGTCAGCCTGTTCTATGATAGACCTTCATCCCTCGCTTGGCACATTGCCCTTTGAACACATCCAGGTCTCTGGTACGCTGTTAACCTCTGGCAGTGATAGAACTGCAAAGAACATTCCAGCACCCTTATCCCTGTACAGTGGGGCAGTGTGAATAATCATTCCCTACTAACCAGGCTGAGGAGTCCAATTTAATTAATCGTTCCTAAGACTGCAACCTCTTTTTATGTGATTATGGAAATCACTGCTGTGCACTCCCTGACTGTGGGAGCACTGCCCAGTTCCTCACCAGTTCCTCCCAGAGAGTGCCAGGGCAGAGGGTACAGTCTGTGTATTTTCATGTGAATAATTCTCTTGAATTCTGCCTGGTTTGATGAAACCCAGTGGTGCCCAGCTCTGTGTTTTAACCGAGGGGGTTTCAGTGTTAAGGAGCTCGGTTTACACAGTGTGAAGGTCATTTCTTTAATTCCTTTCCTTTTTCCGAGGTTTTTGCCTGCAGTTCAGCCGGTTCCTGGTGTGATGGGTTTCATATTGATGAAGCCAGCAGATTGCAGGAATATGATCAGGACTATAATGGCAGGAAGGAGGGTCTGAGGAATGTGCCAGTACAGGATTTCTGTTCTGAGATCTCTATCTGAATGAGAGGGGGTGATGGGGTGGGGGAGTTGTTTTCTGTAGTGTTGCAATGACATGGAATGGAGCAAATACTGTACTAAAAGGTGCACTTTTTTAACAGAGCATGTCCAGCACTGTCAAGGGTTTATGGAGGGGCTCTGGGGAGAGGGAGCTGTGAGCATGTGTGTCTCATGCTCATGGGGGAATTGTCCCAAAGCAGCAGCAGTAGTAGATGGAGCTAAAATTGTTTTTTGTACATAAGAAAGAGAATAATAGCTCAGGAGTCTGAAGGGAGAAGAAAGCAGAGCCTCTGCTTTTACTTTAACCTCTTCTACCCCTTTTCTTTTTTTTTTTTCCAGGTCCTATCTGACTCCGGTGCGGGATGAGGAAGCGGAATCACTGAGGAAGGCACGGTCCAGGCAGGCCCGGCAGACTCGCAGATCTACCCAGGTAAAGAATGGAAATACTCCCATTCGTGTGTTGGATGAAGAGAGCTGATGGATTGGTTTCCCCAGAGAAGCTGTGGCTGCGCCATCCCTGGAAGTGCTCAAGGCCAGGTTGGATGGGGCTTGGAGCAGCCTGGGCTAGTGGAAGATGTGCCTGCCCATGGCAGGGGGTGGAATGAGTTGAGCTTTAAGGTCCCTTCCAACCCAAACCAGTGTGGGATTCTATGAAGAGGCAGGATTTTCTTTTTCTCTTAATTCATTTCTTAGGACAAGAACCTTGTCTGCACTCTCACTGTTTTGGAGATGTTCTGGCCAAAGTTCCTTCAGACAGTTAATACAAATCCCTCCCCCAAACATACACGAGTTGGATTTTTAAGCTTCCCTTTCTGCACTGTACCTGCCTTTCAGTTTGCAGTGGGATCATATATATTAGGATTGCTTTGAGTCAGTGATAGGTCAGTACACTGAGAAATACATTAAAGGCAAGAGAATTCTTCCATTTCTCTTACCATGAGGGATGAAACTTGAGCCTGGCCAGGTGGGAGCCTGCAGCATTTTAAACTGACCTGGAAGACTTGAAATCTAATTTCAACCTGGAAAAGAGAAGGCTTTGGGGAAACATTAGAGCCTCTTCCCAGTGCCTAAAGGGGCTCCAAGAGAGCTGGAGAGGGACTTTGGACAAGGGATGGAATGACAGGACAAAGGGGAATGGCTTCCCACTGCTAGAGGGCAAGGTTAGATGGGATATTGGGAAGGAATTCTTCCCTGGGAGGGTGGGCAGGCCCTGGCACAGGTTGCCCAGAGAAGCTGTGGCTGCCCCTGGATCCCTGGAAGTGTCCCAAGGTCAGGTTGGACAGGGCTTGGAGCAACCTGGTCTAGTGGAAGATGTCCCTGCCTATAGAAGGGGGGTGGAATGAGATGGGCTTTCAAATCCAACCCAAACCAGTCTGGGATTCTATGCATGAATTTAAGAATTCTCCTTTACTTGGTGTGCAGGGTGTGACCCTGACAGACCTTCAGGAGGCCGAGCGGACCTTCAGCCGGTCGCGGGCGGAGCGACAGGCGCAGGAGCAGCAGAGCGAGAAAGCCGAGGGCACCGAGCTTGAGGAGAGCGGCGAGAGACCGGAGAGCCGGGCACGGTGGAGCAGGAGTACGGATGAGGAGGTGATCCTTCTGCCTCAGTGCTCGTTGCTTCAGAGCTAATGAAACCGTTTAGGATAGCTGAGATGAGGAGGAATTCTCCTGGGGGGATCTTTTCGTTTTTTGGGGGGGGGGGGGCAGACTTGCTGGAAGCAGCAGTGCTGAGGAGCAGCACCTGCACGAGGGAGGTGGATCTGGAGGTGCTGGAGCTTAGCTGTGCCTTGGCTCTCCACTGGGAATTTCAGCTTTCTGTCTCTTGCCAGCAAATAAGACTCTGTAAATCCCAGAAAGTGGAATGAGAAGGCTAATGATAGAAATGTGGCCTGGATCCATCCTCGCTGTGCAGTCTGGGCTGAGGCTTTGTGTTCACATTTTTCAGCAGATATTCCGTGTGTAATGGAAAGCTGGAGAGACCAGTCCTCTTCCCCTGCCATCACTTCTGTTTTTTCACTCTAAATCATTTATTCCTGTTAGATACCTTGTTTGTCCTGCCATTGGCTGTGGGGACAAAGGGGTTGATCCCAGATCTCCCAGCCATGGACAGCACTGTCACACTGTAGCCGTACTATGATTTATTTTAACATCCATCCCTATCTGATGGAATGAACCCAATCTGGCAGATGCAGGTGATCATTTCCAGCAACAGGGAAGAAAACATTGCACTCTGAAAGGTTGCTACATCCCCTGAAATCCCAGATCTGCTGGTTCCTCTTCATTCTACTGACTTTCTGTCCTGGCTCTGTGTTTATAGTCAGTCTACCGGCGACTGAGGTGCCCAGCACAGCCCGACAAACCCACCACACCTGTATCTCCTTCGACAGCAGCACCTCTGCTCTACACAAGTTCATACCTGACTCGAACAAATAAATACCTAGGCCTGGACTCTGTGAACCCAGCAGACTTCAGAGGGGCAGCCACAGAGATGGAGAAAAACGGTACGTACCAGGAGAGCGAGGAGCAGGCAGAGCTCAGGGGGGTTTGTGCGGTTTAGAATTTTCAGTGTGTACAGACAGAGTGAATAAGTTTACTTGTTACTCTGAGGGGAGACGCCACCTCCACAAAACCGATGTTATTTGTTTAAGTGGAGTTAAACAAATTCCTGTTGCTTGTAACCGAGGGATAAAAGGATGTCTTCCACTTTGGATAAATAAATGAAACAGTGATCCATGGAGCATTTAGATCTTAGAGCTGAGGGAAGAGGTTCCTCTGGTACAGCTTGTCCTCACAAAAGGAGTAAGTCGAGATGACCTGGGGAGAGCTGCCAGCTGGGGTAACCTCTGTCTCTGAGGAGGGGAGGAGTGTGAGTATCCAGCTGTAGGAGGACACATTTGGTTTAATAACTGCTTTCTAATGTAACACAAGCCAAGATGACCTTGATCAGCTTGAAAAGAACCCCAGAACCTTAGCAAAAAGCACGGATGTAAATCACTGAAACCAAAGCAGTCTTTCTTTGCTTGGCCAGAGTGTGAAGATCAGGATTCAGACGACAGATCCCTGAACAAACAGTCGATCCGGGAGCGGCGGCGGCCGAAAGAGAGACGGAGAGGCACCGGCATCATTTTCTCGACAAAAGACGTAAGTTTGAGTTCCTTAGAAAGAGAAACTCATTCTGTAGTTCATCCAGGATGAATTTTCTTCCGATTCCAAGCTCCAGATTTTTTTCCCAGTCAGTTTATTTTCCGTTCCAGCTCTATTTCAGGCTGGCACATCCAAAGTGGTGCATCCCTGTTTGGCCCATGTCACACCAAGCAGCGGGCTGGGAATTACTGGGAACCCTGCAGGACTCTGAAAGGGCCCACATGGGAGAGGAGAAATTAGAAGTCTAATTCCTTTGGAAGAAGGAGGTCACAAACCACTTGAAGTATTTTCAGATTTCTCTGAGCCCAAATTTGTCTGCTCTTCAGGCCCCATGAAATGAAGACACTGAGGAATAAAACCAGTGTCTGGGTCCTCTCCCAGCAGCAGGGAACACTCCCAGCATAAGTGCAGGAGAGCTGTCTGTGTCATGTTCATTTGTCTTGGTCCTGGTTTCAGAGGATTTCTTCAGTCTGAGGGAAGAAATCTAGCCCTCCAGACTTTGGTTAGAGCCTCAGGTAGGAAAATTCAGGAGAGAGTAAGGATTATGAAATCATGGTTAACGAGTTTAGTCTGGAGTCAGCTGGGATACTGTGGTAGTTTCCCATTGCTCCATGAAATCCCAAAGCTGTTACAAAGAGGCAGTGGCTAATTGAGAGGCTGCACAGGTGCAGGATATCTGGAATGATGAGTCTCTCCTCCTGGGGTCTAATTGAAGTGATGTTCTTTGAAAGTCAGCATTGTGTCAGTATTTTAGATGAGCAGTCTTCCCAGTTGTCTTGTTTGTTCCCTGAGTGTATTCAGGAGCTGTTGTTGTTCCTCCTCCTCCTGACTCTTCAGGAACATTCAGATGGCAGGAGCCATCAGAGAGAGTCATTCTGTTCTCAGTACAAAAATCTTCTAAATAGTCATTAGGTCACCAAACCTGATCCGATAATCAGCAAAAAACATCTGGATGGGCATTTCTTTTGAGGTTTCTTCTTATCTTTAACATCAGATCATTTCTTCACTGGAAGGGTGGTCAGACACTGGCACAGGCTGCCCAGAGCAGTGGTGGAGTCACCATCCCTGGAAGGGTTCTAAACACAAGTTTTCATGGCACTTTGTGATATGGTTTAGTTGACATGATGTCAAAGGTTGGACTTGATGATCTCGGAGGTCTTTTCCAACCTTAACAACTCTGTGGTTTTATAAACAATAAAATTATCACCCTGTGGTAAATTTTGTTGTCTCCAAAGCTGCCTAATTATATTGTTTGCTTTTCATCCTAGGATGATGATGAAGTTGATGGAAACGAGGATGTGAAGGAAACTCGGGTAAGTGAGACCATGTGTCTAAATCCTTGGTGTTTCACTCTTGGGTGTTGGTGGCAAGAAATCTTCTGTGGCTTTACTCTTGTCCATGGGAGAGGTTCAGGCTCTGCTCAGTAGCTGAGTATGAACGGGGAGACACTTCCAAGTAGCAAATTCTTTATTGATTTCTATTCTAGAAGATAACAAATATCTGCAGAACTGGCCTAAGTTCAGAGTTGACTCTTGGAGAGCTGCATGGGCAGTTCTGGAGCCTGGAGGGAGTGCAGCAGAACAGGGCTGAGCGTGATCCTCACGGAGCTGTCGGGCCACAGTGCTGGCAGAGTGTGACCACCAGGTGTCCTGGGCAAGACCTGTGACCTTGGATCTCAGAATCACCCTGACACTGTTATTTTGGACAGTATGTTTTGTATTTCCGAAATCTGCCCTTCTGTCTCCTCATGGATTTGATTTCTTGTGGGAAATTGTCTTCACGAGCGGCGTGTCAGAGGTTGTTCCAGGTTCCCCTGTTCTTGCAATGGTCTCATCCTTCGAGGCCCTTGCTTTCCTTTTTTAATAATTACTGAGTCTTTCTGAGTTGCCTTGGTTTCCTTTGGTTTTGTCTGCCTCTGTCTGAAACACATTGGAGCCTGACAACATGACTGACTGTGACAATGTCAAAGCTAAATACATTTCCAGGCTATTAAAGCACAATGTGCAAGACCTGGGAGAAGCAGCAAACACAAGGTTGTGTAGGGGTCAGCCTACTTGTGTGATATTTCATTTTTGCTGGAAAACACTGAACGTGGGGTAGCCTTTCCCTATAGGTTGCAATGCAGTAGAGTGATTGAAGCATCATTTAGTTGGAATTAACTGGTTCACTGCTGAAAATTGGCAGGTACGCTCTGCAGACTCTTATTTTTGGTTTTTTTTTTTCCTTGCAATAGTTGGTCAGAATGCAGCAAAGTCAGGGCCAGCCTTGCTGGGACCAGAGACTCACGTGGTGCTGGGATGACTTTTAGCATGTGCTTATCTTTCCATGCCAGGCATTGCTTTCCCAGTGCTTACTTTGCAGTGTGAAATGTGGGATATTCCTGCTCACAGAAGCATCACCTGCTTTGAGGAGCCCAGCTTCTCCCACAGGAGTTTCTGCTCATCACGGAGCAGAGCTTCTTGAAATCATCACTGAACCCTGCAGGAAAGATTTGGCCATTTATCATCGTTACAATTGTTTTGGCACTTCTGCTGTCTCACAGTGGGGTCGGAGGAGGGGAGTTTTGTAATGTGTAAAAGAGTAATAATCATAATAGGGACACCTTGTTTCCAGCAGGAATGTTTGGGACTTGCTGGGAATGACTTGTTCTTCTGGGAAGTTGTCCCAGACTTGCTAAATTAAGACAAAAGAGTGTCTGAGGCTGCAGGTTTGGAGACTTGCTGCAGTCTAGTCCTAAAATTGCTGAAGATTTAATTGAGCACAGTCCTCACTGCTCATGTCAGTGGATAAGCTGCACTTTGGGAGAACCCACCTGCCCAGAAATTCAAGGTCACCCAATCTCTCATAGCTACTGCTGGTTTTCTCCAAATTAACAGCAAGGATTCCTTTTCTTGTACTTCCTGTGGTTTTCTTGTGGGTTCTCATCCAACAGCAGAGCAACTTCCCTTCAGTTCCCTCAGCCCCTTCGTGCAGGTGCTTTGGGGCAGCAGCACCCCGTTTTCTTACACACCCCACATACATTAGACCTGGGTTAGACTCTCCTCCCACTGTGCCAGACCTGTTTTTTTCCACTTTCCCAGTCATCCTGTTTTTATCCAGTTTGGAGTTCATTTTCTTCGCTGCGTGCCTCCAGCATCGTGTCACTTGGTCAGTCTTCCCTGGCTTGTTTTAGATCCAAATCAGAGGTTTCTGTCCTAACTGTCCATCACTTCGGAAGGATTCACAGAGCAGCTCCTTTCTTTTAGTTCTAGTGCCAAGGAAAATGTACAATTAATAATCATTAATAATCAATAGCAGTAATTCTGGAATGGGAGGTGCCACCATGTCACCAAGATGTGAACTTGAACACACCGGAGTGTCCCATTTTAGTTGCAGATCCCCAAAAACTCTCTGGTTTTATGGGAGCAGTTGTGGTTTTCCTCCAGTGTTTATATCTTGGCTGATATTGGAAGAGACCTGAGCTCAGAGAAAAGTTGGGGGCAAGTTTGGCCACAGTGTTGTCTCTGTTTCTCAGAAAATAAAAACTGGGGAAGTCTGAGAGGTCCTGTTAGACCCAGACTGAGCCAGGGGGAGAGTGTGGTATTGGGAAAGCTTCCCTGTTCCCTCAAACCAGTGACTGCAGGAATTCCATCTTGGTGAGGCCACTGAGGACTAATTCAACAGAGTCAGTGCAGATAGGGATCAGTGGCTCCAGTTTAGGATGCAGCAGTTGGAGGATGACAGTGAAGGCTAAAGAGAATGGTCCAGTGTTCCATTTCAGAGCTGGTATTTCCTTATCCCCAGCTCTCCTGGCTTTGATTTGATCCTAACTTAGAATGATGGAATCTATTACAGACTGGCTTGGGTTGGAAGGGACCTTAAAGGTCATCCTGTTCCACCCCCTGCCACAAGCAGGGACACCTTCCACTAGCCCAGGTTGCTCCAAACCCCGTCCAACTTGGCCTAGAACACTTCCAGGGATGGAGCAGCCACAGCTGCTCTGGGCAACTTCTGCCATTGCTGTTGTACAGCAGGAGAAATTGGGAACAAATTTGGAAGATGACAGACCATGCAGAACAAATAGAAAATGCTGGTAATCATTTGAAGGATTTTTTATCTCCTTGCAGTTCTCTGCAGGAGCATTACAGACACACCTCATCCAGAGGGACTTTGTCAAAGGAAAGCTTCAAATTCAGAGGCAGACATCGAGTATTGTGTTAGTAAAATAACAGTTTACAGGCAGTAAAAGTGTCAAAGAAAATGTCTGTTGTCGTGAACTGCCTCCAGGACAGTCTGTATACAGCCCAGTATAAACGCCAGACACGTTAATGGAATTAACTTTTATGCAAGAATAACACTGAACCGCTTGATTGTGGATTACGATCGCAGTAAGTGGATTAAATAGGCTCCATTCCTGTCTCTCTGTGCTTTGATTTATGGAATGAGTGTTTTACATTCTGCAAAGCACCACTCAGGCCCACTCTGGTTTGTAAATAAGTGTTCTGCCTAATTGTACTGTTACCATAAAATCACCAGATGCAACTGGATACCAATATAAACTAAATCTCCGTCTTAGAAGGGCTGAATTTCTAAGCTTGATTCCATTAGTTCTAAGGGAAGACCAGTGAACAGAAAAATTCCTTACACAAACTAAATGTCACTGCTCATTCAGAGCTATGATTTGGGAGTCCCTGATTTTGGTGTGTCCTATTTCTCACCTGTATTTTTGCTTTTAGTGCCATTTTATCCTTCCACGGAGGCTTCAGTTTAGCTTTTGTCATCGTGCTGTTTGCCTTCTTGCAAAAGATGGGTTTGATGGATGACTAGGAGAGTGGGAATAGCTTTTGTTAAGTGTTTTGTGACTTGCCTGTCGTAGCCAGACTGGGTGTACTGGGAGCCCCCCGGAGTTATTGCCCCCTTTCCCAGTGCTGTGCAGGCTCACCCTGTGCCTGCAGACTGTGTTTGGAAGCCAGGGAAGGCTCCGAGTCCTCCACTTTTGGGACTCACATTGCCTAATATGGTAAGGTATGTCTGCATGGGCTGCACTGTTTTGCTGGGATACAAGGGAAAGTTGACCAGTAAAAGGGAACAAAATAGGTGAACTCCTGGCTGGCTGATAAGAAACTTGAATCCTTTAATCCAGGCAGCGCTGTACGGTGGTTTTCATGCTGTGCCTCATTGCTGCCGGCCCAGGGTCCCTTCTGGGGATTAAAGATACGAGTATTTTCCCCTGGTTTTACCCTGGAGTGTTTACTTCTAGCAGGGATGTGGTGTGACGTGGGAGGGAAACCATCTGGCCCCGGTCCAAGGGCACGTAGGTGGCACCGCGCGTCACTCGCCTGGTGTAGTCAAATCAGAGAGCGTTTCATTCTGGGTAAGGTAAAGCTGGGAGAGATTGGCTCTGGTTGGCCCTGTTTATAAACAAAATGCTCTCTAATGGGCTGTGTGTGCTGGGAGGAAAGGTCTTTAATATGTGTGAACAGCAACAGAAAACAGCAGCAAAGTGCTGCAGGAGCACGAGCTGATGCTGTGCCACAGAGCATGAACACGGGGAAGAGCAGCCTGACGGTGTTCAGAGTGCCTTGGCCTCCCTGGGAGGTGGAGGGCTCAGACACCAGAGAAATCAAAATTCACTCTGCAAATGTTTCTGCCCAAATAGTTCACATCTGCACGGAGGATTTGCCTCGTGAGTTCTCCAGCCTGACGTGCTTGTGTTGGATTTTCTTAACCTTAATATGTGGAGAAGGGCATCGGCCTAGCTGGCTGCTCTCCCTGTTGATGCAGCACTTTACTCCTCAGCCTGGCTCTGAGCTCCTGTTTACAGCTCCGGGAAAACATATTGTTTGTGCCCAAAGCCAAGTGATCCAAGTGGGTTATGTGCACTACAGGGTTACAGCTAAATGCCTTCAGGTGAATTCCTCTAATTCACCGAGTTGCTGAATTAGGAAGGTGTAATGTGAAGCAGTGGCTGTGATGGGGATGGGGATGAGTAACACAAAACCAGCTAAAATCCGATCTGTGAGTCCCGGGAAGATGAAGCAAAGCAGTGAGTCCTCCAGGAATGATTTCCAAGGTCACAGACTCATAACTATTTAAGGTAACTTTATGCTTTAGCATCTTGTTTAGTAGATTACTGTCAGAATTCTGGTGTAGTCTGAGGTGACTGATCTTTCTCAGTTGTCAGCATGTCCTTCCCCCTGCAGCCACGGAGCTGGGGTTGGCACTGCAGCACCCACCCACAGCTCCCTTGGCCTCTGCTGGCACTGCTGTTGGTTCAGATGATCCCAGTTCATCACTTTGCCTACATGGCAGCTATTGCACAAGGGTCCTGGGA